CTCTTTTGACTTGCCAATGCCTTCTGATACACGAGAACAATCAGAAATTCCCTGAAATTCAGGAATGATTAGGACTACAACCAGAAAGAAGAATAAGCTGCTTAGTCTTCTGTAGTCCTTGGAGTCTTGGCTGCAGTAGGAGTAATCTAAGAGAAAGCCTTGATGTGTTGGCGAAATTGAGTACCTAGACATTCCTTCATATTAAATAAGCACTTCTAGCATGAAGAGAAGCAGATGGTTAAGGGGGTAGGGGCTGCCCTTCCTTTTGGCAGAGACACTGTTGTCTTTTGGCAACAGGAACTGGTATATTGTAAGGACAATCTTATTACACGAAGATCTTTCCTTTTTTGACAGGATCTGTTACATCTGTTTGCTTTATAGTTGTATATGGAGACATGCAGGAAATGAACTGAGAATCTGGATTTATGAGGCAGAGGGAGGGGAAGAGGAAGGGGAAAGGAAAAAGAAACGAAAGGAAGAAAGGAAGTATAATGGGATGGGGAAGAAAGGAAAGGAGGAAGGGAAGGAGGAAGGGAAGGGAAAGAAAAGAAAAGGAAAGGAAGGGAAAGGAAAGGAAAGGAAAGAAAAGGAAAGGAAAGGCTTCATAACAATAAAATAGTCAACTCAGTTGATCAGAGCCCTAAGTTATAACATCTGGCTGTACAAATTGAACTACTCAGAGTAATGTTTACTTATTAAGAACTTCCTTCCTTCCTTCCTTCCTTCCTTCCTTCCTTCCTTACATACATACATACATACATACATACATACATACATACATACATACATACAGTATTACCAAAAGGCAACTGAAAGCTTGGGAGATAGGAGTATCTGATAACATGATTGTGTTGACTGTCACTGGGTGTTGTGCCATGTGATTCTTGACGAGTGTATCTTGTCTTTTTATGTACACTGAGAGCATATGCACCAAAGCATTGGGTGTCCAATCACACTTAGCCAATAAAGAATTCTATTCTAGTCTATTCTATATTGTACATTATTGTAGCACTACAAAGTTTTGTTGCAGTTGTTTGAATGCCAGTGTTCCCAAATTCCTTTGTGGAGAAGATTTCTTTGTGTGCATCTAATTCATCAATTAAAGGCAGGGAATATCTCAAGACTTGGCTTACTTTCCTTCTCATTTCCCCCCCCAGTATTGTCCTGTTTGGCATCTTTTGTGTATGACACTTTCTATTTATTGCTTGGAAGAATGATGCTTCTTCTTGGCTTCGTAATTGAGCTGACAGTGATGGCATTTATGCCACCAGCAACATCCTGGAAGGATGGTACTGGTGGTGGATTATCAATGAGAATGGAGTTTGCCAGCACACAGCTTTTAGTGCTAAACAGCTAACTCTGAGCCAGGTCATTTCAATGACACTCATGCAATTTGCTAAGCAGATAGCAAAGAAACAAAATCGCCAACAAAAATACATTATCCCTATAAAATTACTTTGTCGATTTGGCTGATAACAAAGCCTTGGCCACGCAGCAATAACCACCCAAGGAGGTTACATCATGGTGACCCAAAATAACTTACCTAGACACATAAAATATGCATACCGAGAGTTGTGGAGAAAGCAACAAAGGGGCGATAGAGATGTGAGATTAAATGTGTCTTTTGCACTTAAGCATGCAAGGTTTTTTATTATTATTATTTTAAAATGCAAATAACACCAGCTGGACATTCTGATAATTACTGGAAGTGCAACAGGCCTGGAAAATGAATCTAACTCTTCTCTGTTGGCTGCAGTCTTGAGAAAAGCTCTCCTTTGCTTTATGCATTAGATGTCATAGGCACTTTAGTAATAGCAATAGCACTTAGACTTATATACCGCTTCATAGTGGTTTACAGCCCTCTCTAAGCAGTTTACAGAGTCATCCTATTGTCCCCAACAATCTGGCTCCTCATTTTACCCACCTCGGAAGGATGGAAGGCTGAGTCAACCTTGAACCTGGTGAGATTCGATCTGCCAAACTGCTGGCAGCCGATGATCAGCAGAAGTAGCCTGCAGTACTGCACTCTAACCACTGCACCACCACTTTCCAGTCAATCACCTACCGTTTACAAGGGATATTCCTTAAAAATATAATAAGCTCCCCCCCTCCCCATTTTCTCTTTTTGGCACCTGAAATTTTTAACTTTGCTTTCCTAGTCTGGTCTACTTTGAAGAGATGACATCAATCTTGCTTGTCTGAAATCACCTCTCACATGTCTCTCCTTACCTTCTGGAGATCTAGAGAGGATCATATCTGAGACTTAAATGGGGTCTGTTCCAGGGCAGGGAGAGTGGAGTGGCATTTTTTCCCATGGTTTGGACTCTAACCGTCAATTCATACACTGTAAGATAGCTAGAGCCTTGGAGGCGCAGTGGTTAGAATGCAGTACTGCAGGCTACTTCTGCTGACTGCCAGCTGCCTGCAGTCTGATTCTCACTGGCTCAAGGTTGACTCAGTCTTTCATCCTTCCGAGGTGGGTAAAATGAGGAGCCAGATTGTTGGGACAATACGATGACTCTGTAAACCGCTTAGAGAGGGCTGTAAAGCACTGTGAAGCGTTATGTAAGTCTAAGTGCTTTTGCTATCTATTGCTTTTCTCCTCCTCCTCCTCCTCCTCCTCCTCCTCCTCCTCCTCCTCCTCCTCCTCCTCCTCCTCCTCCTCCTCCTCCTCCTCTATTGCTTTTGCTATCCTCGGAGATTAGAATAGCCCCGACCCTGTTGGCTTTTCACAAAGTTTTTAAAAACTTGGCAGTGTATCCTGGTCGGGGTCTCAGAATGTCCTAAGGGTTCCGTTATTTGGCTTTATTATTACCTGAAGAATCATTACAGCTTCCGTTTGTACTTATTTATTTCATAAATGTTTCTATTGTTTTAATGCTTTTAAAAATAAATGTTTTATAAGGGTAGAATTGTAAAGCTATCCAGAATCGCTTGGTTGAGTTGGGCAGCTATGGAAATCAAATAATGCAGTACTGCAGGCTAACTCACTGCTCACTCCAGGAGTTCAATTCTCACTGGCTCAAGGTTGACTCAGCCTTCCATCCATCCGAGGTGGGTAAAAATGAGGACCCAGATTGTTGGAGGCAAAAGGCTGACTCTGTAAACCGCTTAGAGAGAGCTGTAAAAGCACTATGAAGAGGTATACAGGTCTAAGTGCTATTGATATTTTGCCTTTTCCGAAGCTGATCACCTTATACATTTAAATAAAAATCAACACCATTTAAAATGTTTAATTCAGAAGGAACTCCGTGTTCACTTGCAGGAAAATAAGAATCAGCTTTCTCCCCACTCACCATAAAAAAAACGTTTGTAATATTTCAAACCACTTTTTTTTTTATTTCACCTGAAATTCTTCTCAAGCTGTTAAGCTGAGTATGCGTATCCCAAAATGGTGGCAATGAAAGATCCCTCAGGTCAAAAAGGAGGTTGAAGGAAAGAGAACCCGAGAAACAAGTGAAATAAAACCTTCTCATAGTTTTCAGATATTAATGTCTGAGATTTTTATCTAAAGTACCCCATTCATCTTGAACTTATATGGAAATTTCCAAAGGGCAATTTTCTTCTTGTGGCAAATTTGGCCTTGGTAGAATCAAATGAAATTTCCTTCTAGTTCCTCCCCTGTGTATGGCAGCCTTTTTGTAGACACCGTATGTTAATGATATACAGAGATAACTTCTTTCCGCATGCAAATGGTATATAATGTACTAGTAGAAATGCAAGGCAGGAAGAAAATTCTGTCAAATTGACTTTGACAGAATTCAAGGTTGGTTCAAGGGAAAATGGTCTCTTAAAAAAAAAACGTTTTCAAAACTTGAAAAAATAAAAACCCGAACCCCTGGATGAGGATCCATGTTGATTCTGCTGTGCCATGTACAGATCCTTTATTTATTTATTTATTTATTTATTTATTTATTTATTTATTTATTTATTTATTTATTTATTTATTTATTTATTTATTTATTTATTTATTTATTTGTCCAATTTATATGCCGCCCTTCTCTGTAGACTCAGGGCGGCTTACAATGCATTATAGCAATAGCCTATGCAATACTGTTATGTATATACCTGCTTATTAGGGCTTTTGCGCCCCCCCCCCCACAAGCGGTGTTGTTCTATACAAAGCTGGCTTATTGCTCCCACAATCCGGGTCCTCAATTTACCTACCTCAAAAGGATGGAAGGCTGAGTCAACCTTGAGCCTGGTGAGATTTGAACTCGCACTAATTGCAGGCAGCTGGCAGCTAAGTGCTAGCACTTAACAGTACTTAGTCCGCTCTACCACCGAGGCTCTTTTATCTCAGAAACTGGACTTTTTTCTCATATTTTCTTAACTGTTTGTACATGTGTGTATACACTTATGCATGCACACATGTGCACACACACTTATACTCTTACCCATGCACAATCCCTGACATTCCTACTGCCGAGAAAACACTTTGCTTTTGAAGGATTTGCTGCATGTATATAACTAGCATGTAGGTATTTGGGCAAGCATTACTGCTTAAACAAGGTGATTGTCTATACACCTACAGTAGTGGCCAAAATTGTGGAAACCTTTTGGGAAAAGTGTATTTTTGAGCGTTGATGGCTAAGAACACCATTTTTTTTGGGGGGGGGGGACGGACTTTCAAGATAATCCTATTCCACTGCTGGAATGGCCTGGGAATAGCCCAGACCTTAACCCAATTGAAAATCTATGCAGCCAACTAAAGAAACTTATTAGTCAGAAGCGACTCAGCAACAAAACCCAGTTAATAGAAGCCATCATCCAATCTTGGTTTCACATTAGAACAGCTGCAGAAGTAAAAGACTTGGTTCACTTCATGGGAAGACGTTGTAAGGCCGTCATTCATGCTAAAGGTTACCCAACCAAGTATTAACTGACATGGTGATAATTTTTGTATATCTCATTTTTTCTTATGGTGATAAGTGTTAACCTTATTAGGAGGGGGTGTGTGTTAACCCCTTCTTTTGTGTTTTGTCTGTTTTATTTTTCAGGGTGTGTTTTTTTCTGCAGGGGGCAATGCCTGTCAGCTTTGGAAGCCATATTAGGCCGGAAGCTTCCATGCTGCCACCTTCTCATGTGTGGGAAAGTAGGAGTGGGGGATTTAGAAGAGGGGTTGTCTGTAGACATAATAGCATTCTTCCTGTCGGTCAAGGTCAGGGCAATCCTGCATCTGGAGAAGGAGTGGTTGGAATGATGTCTCGAGATGGGACGGTGGTTGATTGGAGCATGTGATCGTCTGAGGACTGAAGGGATGGTTTTGGGGTTTTTGATTTACTGAGGGAAAACCCGGACCTCTCAGATCCAGGTTTTCCCAGATGTTCCAGTTTACCTATTCTAATAAATAGAACTTTGAAAAATGCTTGCTTCAGAGTCTTTACTTAAGAGTTGTTTTTTCCTGGAATGCTGACATTTTGTATATCTCATTTTTTCTATGTGTTTCAGTTTTCTTCTTTATACTGTAACTGCTATTCTAATAGCAAATCCTTCATAAAAGTTATTGCATTACATTCTTGATTAAATGATCTTTCCATTGATATATAATTTTATGGCACTATTCAAAAAAAAAAAAGTGGTGTTATTAGCTAGTTTTAGAAAATACACTTTTCCCAAAAGGTTTCCACAACATATGTACATATGGAGACAGCCAGGAACAATTTCCCAAGCAGCCATGTACACCTGAAAAAAAATGACTCTGGTGTTTTAACAATTCAAGAAAAGGTATCCTCCCACATACAAAAGAATCTTCTTTTTTGTTGTGGCATCTGATGAATGTCTTGGTTTTTTAAGGAAGGAATAATGAAGAGAAGATTGGGCTAAGTATGGAATAAGGAGCATTAGCTGTAACATCATAATGGAAAGTGTTATAAATCAGTCAAAATTACCTTCTTTAATCAAAGGGTCCTTGTGCCTGAGGATGCCCAAGAATAGAATAGGTAATAATTCAAAGGGAATAATGCCTTTTTTAAAAAAATAGTTAATTGATCAATACTTTCCTCAAGGACTTTTTAATCATGATTAGAGCTTTCCGTATCTTTTGCTGACCTTCAGTATCGCTGCAACCACATTCTGAATTGTTTGTAAAAATAATAAAGGTAGGATACAAATACGGGCGCGGTGGCTCAGTGGCTAAGACGTTGAGCTTGTCGATCAAAAGGTTGGCAGTTCAGCGGTTTGAAACCCTAGTGCCGCATAATGGGGTGAGCTCCCGTTACTTGTCCCAGCTTCTGCCAGCCTAGCAGTTCGAAAGCACATAAAAAATGCAAGTAGAAAAATAGAGACTATCTTTGGTGGGAAGGTAACAGCGTTCCGTGCACCTTTGGTGTTTAGTCATGCCAGCCACATGACCACGGAGATGTCTTCGGACAGCGCTGGCTCTTCGGCTTTGAAACTGAGATGAGCACCACCTCCTAGAGTCAGGAACGACTAACAGATATGTGCGAGGCAAACCTTTACTTTACCTTAGGATACAAATAAATAAAAATAAATTCAAGTAGTCCTTGACATTCAATCACAATAGAGCCCCACATTTCTTTCTTTCGTTAAGTGGGACATTCGTAAAGTGAGTTTTGCTCCACTTTACGCCCTTTCTTGCCTCCGTTGTTAAGTGAATCACTCCAGTTGATAAGCTAGTAACCCGGTTGTTAAAGGAATCTGCCTTCCCCATTGGTTTTGCTTGTCAGAAGGTCGCAAAAGAGGATGATATGACTTTAGGATACAGCAACCGTCCTAAATATGAACCAGTTGCCAAGCACCTGAATTTTGATTACGTGATCAAGGGGGATGCTTCAAAAGGTCGTAACTGTGAAAAGTGATCATAAGTCACTTTTTTCAGTGCCTTCATAATTCACTAAACACACTGTTGTAAGTTGAGGGCTACTTGTAAATTTACAAACGCTCTTAGAGTCTTCATCTGATTGTTTAACATCTTGTTTTGTGTGACCCTCATGTATTGGGGATATCAAGAAGCAATGGGTGGAAACTAATCAAGGAAAGAAGCAACTTAGAATTAAGGAGAAATTTCCTGACAGTTAGAACAATTCATCGGTGGAAGAACTTGCCTCCAGAAGATGTGAATGCTCCAACACTGGAAGTTTTTAACTCTACTCTACTCTACTCTACTCTACTCTACTCTACTCTACTCTACTCTATTCTATTCTATTCTATTCTATTCTAACATCTACAAATTGGTACACAACCCAGGTTGATAACAAGCAAACATGCAAGCTCAGAGAACACCAAGGACTCCCCAGTTCAACCCTGAACCACAGATATTTCTTTCATTGGGTTCTTCAAAATATATTACTCTTCCATTTAGGCAGGAAAATATCTTTTCATGGTCCAATTTGAAAGACCGGGTTTTTAAACCATGGCTTTCTCCTGTTTATATGCACGAGCCTTTCACGGTGGACAATATTTTCAAAGAAGAATGAAATGAGCTTTTCTGTAATTAGTTCAGCCGTCAGAGCTGCCGTGATAAATTAATGACAAAATAAATGAAGGATAAATGATATCCTAACTAAATTATTTCAGTCTCCATCCTCACATTTATCATTGACCTGTTTGTCATCCTTAATAATGCTCTTCCTTCTAGAACATTATGAAGTATAATGATATTATCTTAGCCTCTAGATTTGTTAAAAATTATACCTCTATAAAACTCACATATACACCCAAAGCACATATGCTTTTTTTTTTTTAATTGAATTACGGAAAGCTAAATAATTCATTTTTCTAGCTTTATATTATTTTGCCTAGAAAAAAGTACTTTAGGAAAGTTTCAGAAGTAGAGTAAATTTTCACCTTTACTAAAGCTTTCCGTTGCCCTTGACTTTTATGCAAAATAGAAGTTTGATTTTTAATTAACGCTTTGTTGGAAATTGTTATAAATTAATGGTGTGGGAAAAGCTAGATCACAAGAAAAACCGAACAGCTCTTTCTGATATTGTATTAATCCTAGAAATAAAACTGTTGTCCTTAGTGACTTTGTAGTATTTGTAAATACTTAACATGCCATACCAATCTTAAGAATAATTCTGACTTTTAGTAAATGGGAGTTTAGTAGGGTTTCTTCTAGTCTTAAGATTGCATAAAACAACTTTTTCACATATTTAAAGACAGGCATAAATGTCAGCTGGTGAAAACATATTGTAGGATTATAACTTTGATTATAAACCAGATTTTTTCCCCCTAACAAGAATGATTACGAATGATCTAATTTTAAAGTTTAAAGCATTAAAAAATAAAATGCAATGCCTATGAAAATCAGCTTAAACACTGTGGAAATGTAAAATGCATTGAGAGTTCTTGATGGTCATTCATATAAGTATGAACCGTGGTGGCACAGTGGTTAAAATGCAGTACTGCAGGCTACTTCCGCTGCCTGCTGGCTGCCTGCAATTTGGCAGTTTGAATCTCACCAGCTCAAGGTTGAGTTGAGTTTCCATCCTTCCAAGGTCAGTAAAATGAGCTCTCAGATTGTTGGGGGCAAATAGCTGACTCTGTAAACCTTAGAGAGGGCTGTAAAGCACTGTGAAGTGGTATATAAGTCTAATTGCTATTGCTATATGGGTAGATTTTCCTATGGACACATATTTCCCTTTTGGGGGAATGTTCAGCTGTCTGAAGCCTGTCAAAATTTTGGTTTCCGTTTATTTATATTCTATCCTCTTTCTCTATCTTGTCCTTCCCACTTGTGTTTGAAACATCTGTTGGTCAATGAATGTACATATTATTTTGATGGCTTTTCATAGCTTTCCTACCTATATTATCTTTAATATAGCCATCACTGACTATTGGGGGCGAATCATTGGCCCCCACGGAGAGGGCTCGCAACTTGGGCATCCTCCTGGATTCACGGCTGTCTTTAGAAGAGCACTTGACGGCCGTGACCGGGAGGATTTTTTATCAGGTCTGCCTGATTCGCCAGTTGCGTCCCTTTCTGGATCGGGACTTGTTACGCACGGTCACTCATGCCCTCGTCACCTCCCGCCTGGACTATTGTAATGCTCTCTACATGGGGCTCCCCTTGAGGAGCACCCGGAGGCTCCAACTGGCGCAGAGTGCGGCCGCGCGGGTGGTAATGGGAGCGACATGGCGCTCCCATGTAACACCTCTCCTGCGCGAGCTGCACTGGCTCCCGGTGGTCTTCCGGGTGCGCTTCAAGGTTTTGGTTACCACCTTTAAAGCGCTCCATGGCTTAGGGCCTGGTTATTTACGGGACCGCCTACTACCACCAATAGCCTCCCACCGGCCAGTACGCTCTCATAGAGAGGGACTCCTCCGGGTGCCGTCAGCCAAACAGTGTTGACTGGCGGCCCCTAGGGGGAGAGCCTTCTCTGTGGGGGCACCTACCATCTGGAATGAGCTCCCCCCGGAGATACGGAGGATCCCGGATCTGCGCTCCTTCCGCCGTGCTGTGAAGACCTTTTTATTCCATCAAGCGGGCTTGGCCTGATCTCTTCCCTTTTTAAATATGTAAATTTTAATCTGTTTTTAAATTATTGGGGTATTTTAATTTGTCTGGGCCAAAAGTTTAATTTGATTTTATCGGGTTTTTAAATTTTGTGTATTTATGTATTTTATTGTTGGCTGTTCACCGCCCTGAGTCCTTCGGGAGTAGGGCGGTATACAAATCAAATAAACTAAACTAAACTAAACTAATATTAACTAGCTCCAACTGTCAAAGAAATACTAGTTACTAATTTGCTATATTTAGGCTGACCTCTCTTAAATATTTACTTAGGAATGTCTCATTCCATTTAATTTTTTTTTTAAATACAACTGGTCAGTAGCAGGGGTGGTATTTAGCTGGTTCGGACCACTTTTCCTGAATCGGTAGTGGAAATCGCTCACTCGCCCACCTGCCCCAGCTCTATGCCATCCTATTTAGGCCGGGTGCATGCCCAGAAGGCACGCGTGTAAGCAAAGTGCACGCACAGAAGGTGCGTATGCACAAAGCAAATTTGCATGCGTGCGGCGAACCGGTAGTAACATAATCTGAAACTCAGCGCTGGTCAGTAGTATGATTGGTCAAAGATCAATAGAATGGTTGGTCCGGTGCCTGCTGGGAAGAAACAGAAGTTTCTCTGTTTTATCATGAGCTGCTAGGATCTTTGTGTAAGATGGGGAGCCCTATAAGTTTTCTAAATAAATTATTATTTATTTATTTATTTATTAGTCATATTTCTATGCCGCCCACTCTCCGAGGACTCTGGGCAGCTTACACCAAAGACAGTATACTAAATAGCATATTGCCCCCAACAATCTGGGT